AAATACCAACCAAGAAGGGAAGCAAACGGATATTGGATTGGTTTGATTCTTGTGTTATTTTGTTAATCGTCATTTTACCAGTAAGGTCATTAAAAGGTGTTCTCCATGTGTGTAATGCATGCCTGATTGTGTGTATATGTACTGAAGGCATGGTATGTTGATGCGTTCACCTCCTTGTGATAGCACGGATCTGATGCCGACTGTTAGAGTGCTACCTCAATGAAATACCATGCATAAGGCACCCAACACCGCATCCCACCTGGTCACAGTATACTGACAACGGGTTCAACACATTGCGAATTCAAGCTGCTGTAGGCTTTCCATTCAATGATAATAAATCTTGCATGTACCACACCGTCATTTCAACAGCGCTTAAAAGATAAATGACTTTTCCAACTGGATATAATGTTTCCGAAAGGATTGTTTCAATTTTCTTACTGTCAAATATATGCAAACATACATGTACCAGACATTTACTGCTTCTTCAGGTATATAATTGGCAAAGATGATGTAGTAATGCTTGAATGACACACTTCGTGACTGCCACTTATACAAATGTGTTAAATTGTTGTATTTTGGTTTGACTTGATCTATTGGAAAACTGATTCAGATTTTTAACAAATAGGCTTTCTATGTGTTAACATAGCGGATTCATTGCTATTATTAGAGAATCGGTTGCCAATGATATACACCCTTAATAACTTTGGTATTGGGATCTTATTAACAATGATAACAACTCCTAGTTTATGATTTCAAATAGTGATATGTGTAACTCAACATTTTCACCCCCTTAAATAACTGTCATTGCTACCGCCAATTACTGCAGCATGCTAGAAATAATGGAGAGGTATGTCAGCGAGTTTATAGAGTTTAGTTTGCTCTGGCGATTCTGACAAATATCACAGGCTGTGCAAACAATGACATAATGTCTACATATGCAAGTTAATATTGATACGCTAATTGAATTGGGTACTATTAAAAATATCTAAAACTCCACGATCTGCATTTTTTATCTGATCTGATACACATTTTCATTGTCGATGCCACGTACACGGCGATCGCTTTAACGTAGAATAATGTATACATTGTTGCCAGGGAAAGTATGTCGGACTCATGTGTAAACCTTAAGAGTTATGTTTTACGAACCAGGAAGTTGAAAGTGAACTTTGACATTTCAATGCACAATGTAACGCATGGTTACCTACACTGAAAGAATAAAGCTAAAGAGAAAAGTATAAACATTATGTAAAAATGCAATCAACAACAGTATATACAATACCTTTGCTAAACCCATATAAACACTACATATAATTATACCTCTTATTCACTTTTTAAAATTAATATAATTCGAGGGTGTTATGCATCTCTCTTTCCTTCTCAACAGTAGGTAAGACCAATTTAAATGTTTATCTTTTTTGTACTCTAGCCTTACCGATGAGTCCAAGAAAGACGTAAGGTGCAGTGTAGTTCATTCATTGTTGAGATTCTGTATCAATTACACAATTGTATATGTGCAATTACATGTGTGTTTCAAAAATGAAATGAAATGTACAGTATACAGGCTAGCCGATATCATGATATATAGTATGCATGCTATTGGCACTGTTTTGATGTGGAGGTACTCTTGTCATATATCTTAAGGTTGTCAAAATGAAATGTGTATTCATGTGTATGTGATATTACATATATAATAACAATAACACATAATAATTGTTTAAAAGGAATTTCATCAGAATTTATAAAACAAACGCTTTCAGACTGCGGAAGGACATTCCACAAAATGTTTTTGAGAGAGGCAGATTGATGACGACTAAGGGCAAGTTTAATGGTCGCCTNTATTTTACACTCTATGCTCTTTACTACACCGTCGTGTCATACATATATGTATATATTTTGATATAAATTAACTAATTACAAGAGAAGAAGCGCTAGAAAGATACAAGACGATTCCAACTGGATTTTATTTTTTCTGAAGGGATATTTTCAATTTCTTACATTCAAAAATATGCAGATATATATGTACCAGACATTTACTGCTTTTCAGGTATATAATTGGCAAAGATGATGTAGTAATGCTTGAATGACACACTTCGTGACTGCCACTTATACAAATGTGTTAAATTCTTGTATTTTGGTTTGACTTGATCTATTGGAAAATTGATTCAGATTTTTAACAAATAGGCTTTCTATGTGTTAACATAGCGGATTCATTGCTATTATTAGAGAATCGGTTGCCAATGATATAAACCCCTAATAACTTTGGTATTGTGATCTAGTGAACCATGATAACAACACCTAGTTTATGATTTCAAATAGCGATATGTGTTACTCAACGGTTATACCACCTCGATAGATTAGCATTGCTACTGCCAATTACTGCAGCATGCTAGAAAGAATGGAGTGGTATGTTAGCGAGCTTATAGAGGTAAGTTTGCTCTGGCGATTCTGACAAATATCACAGGCCGTGTAAATAATGACAGTGTCTATATATGCAAGTTAATATTAACACGCTAATTGAGTTGTGTTCTTTTTAAAAATATTAAAATAACCACGAGCTGAATTTCTTACCTGATCCGATACACACTTCCATTGTCGATGCTACGTACACGACGATCGCAATAACGTAGTACCATGTCTCCATTTTCGCCAGGGAAAGTATGGCGGACTCTTGTGTAAACCTTAAGTTCTGTTTTACGAACCAGGAAGTTGTAAGTGAGATATTGATTTCAACATTTTTTATTGACATAGAAGATTGATTCACTGTCAAAAGGATTGGACAACAGGCTTATAGCCTATATAAGTCCTTTTCCATTGATGGTGATATATGTTTCTAATGGATTGATTTTATATTAATAAGATTTTGCTTACTGTCAAAAATTAACTTTTGTGAATCTAATTAGACATTTACATAATTAAGAGGTTATTATATAACATATGGTGTGGGTTTGGGGAAGGGGGATAACTCCAATTGAATAGTGTAATAATTAGATTTAGTCTGCAATACACAATGTAGGTAATATATATATATATATATATTGGTTATAGACAGCACATACATGTAGTATACAAGCTATAATATCAGATTGACGACCGCACACTCCTTATGTTACGTTTAGGTCTTCAACTGAACACTGTACAGGATCCATAGTAAATATTATTGCGGTATAATTCACAGTAATGCATTTACGTACATATATGGAAAAAATGCAGATCTTAAGTATGTACACTAAAAATTAAAGGTATAAGTAGTATGGGAGAATATAAAAGTAAAGCATAACAATATCATGATAACCAGCCAGAGATACACTCCTGTACGAATGGATGTTGTTTTTATGAATAAGTGTTTTTATCTACAAATATATATACATATGTAAAGAAAACATAAGAAGTCCTTGTGTTGGAATTAAATATAATAAATAGAACAAAAGACAGAGATAGCGTCTCTATACTTTATGATCTTACCAACAATAAAAAATACGGGAGATACAAATTGTTTCATTTACGGCAACAATAAAATATGAACAATAATATTTAAAGCACAGCAATTGCTTAAAGTATGACACGTTGAATTTAATGTGAACTATTCAGACTGGGTTTCAACAGTTCCATTTACTCCGACTCCTTAACTTCCCTCTTTATCACATCAGATGAATGCATTTGGTAAATAGGGAACGCTTTGAAGTTATTGTTAGCACAGTTATGAATATGTTTGTTCACTTGTAAAAATCTAAGGTCATCATGGATTGTTTGTAAGAACATAAAGTTATGCATTTGTCTAAGTAATGTAACTTCACAATTTAGCGTGTACTGTTGTTGACGTCATGAATTTATGTGTATGCCTTCTGTGACGTCATGATGACTTTGCATTATTGATGACGTCATACTTTCTTGTGTAAACAACTATGACCTCACAATACCTGTTTTCAAAATAAACAGTCTCCTGATGAACGGGGAATCAACCCGAGAAAGGCCTAGAAACGCTATCTCTGTCTTTTGTTCTTTTTTATATACATATGTATATATATTAACTCAAAATATGTCAAGTTGCCTGGTATTATACTCGATATTCAACATTTTTTTTTAGTTTTAACTATATATTTTAGGATAGAGCTAAGAATTTCCCTATTTACACCTTCGTTACATGTCTGACAGCCATATAGTAAGTTGGTGAGATGAAAATGGTTATGGTTTCCAATAAGTTCAAGGTCATTTTTTAGTAATGCTCTTTGGACTGAAAACAGGGAACAATGAAGAAAAAAATGTGAGACAGTTTCATGGTTTAAATCACAAGAACACATAGGATTATCTTTTAAATGATCAATACATAGGTCAAAATTTAAGTTGCTACATCCATTTCTAAGTTGACAAAGTATGATATTACCCTTCCTTGATCCTCCATGGAAGTGAGACCCTTGTTCAGTGAACTTTGACATTTCATTGCACAATGTAACGCATGGTTAATTAAACATCATATGCATATCACATGCATATAAACAAGCAACGACGTAACAGTGATAAGAACCTTAATACAGCACTACATGTAATTCTAGTTCCTATCAACTTTTTAAAATTTTATATAATTCAAAGGTGTTATGCATCTCTCGTTCTGTCTCAACAGTAGATAAGACCAATTTAAATGTCTATCTTTTTTGTACACTAGCTTCACCGATGAGTCCCAGATTGACGTAAGGTGCAGTGCAATTGATTCATTGTTGATATTCTGTATCAATTACACAATTTTATATGTGCAATTACATGTGTGTGTTCCAAATTGAAATGAAATTTACAGTATACAGGCTAGCAGATATCATAATATATAGTATGCATGCTATTGACATTGTTTGATGTGGAGGCACTCTTGAAATGGGTTGGCAAACCGTTCCAAGTTTGGTAACCGGTTACTGGAGCAATCTTCCGATCGAGTAAACGGTTAATTGGTCAATTTGGTAATCAAACTATAAACATCGACAATACGTTATATGTTTAGCAAATGTTTTATCTAAAACGCATGTACAATACATACATACCTTATATATAATAGCATGATAGTTTACTACTCGCGTATATCAAGCTAAACGAAGGAAATAGTTTAATGTAACCTTAGTTCATTTCATCCAATGTCAAATGTCGGAATACAGTAAGGCGGGACTCAATTACAGGTATCTGTACTCCAAATGACATGCGGTAATATTGTTGTTTCTGGGGGTTCGAGTTCGATGGGATGGAAACACGCTACAAACTCGAGAGTTGTATGTCAATGCGAGGTGAAATATAGTCCCAATTTAAACATTGTATGCCTATTAAATTACTCAATGTCGAATATGTTATTTACTGAAGTTATTTTTAACGCGAAATATCATAACATGTTCGTATTACATGCAGGCGTTACTCTTGTCTTCAACGTTATATATTCATACGCAGTGTAGCAGAGAAGCAGGTTGTTGAACCGTTGAAAGCTTGATAACATTACACAAATGTTCAACCTGCGACTTTTGAGAACACTCTTTTAGAATATACCAATACTTTTATACTGCTTGTCTTCATATACGTATTTCGAAATGTAATACAGACAACTTTAGTTTTATACCTCAATTATTTTGAATCTTTTATTAAATGTATTTAATTTTATGACTGTCCTGTCTGGGCCTCACTCTCACGACCTACGACACCCAATCGCAATGCCCAGAAATATCTGCACCTCCTACCATATATATATTAATCTTCCGTCGTCAATTGTGTTTCTAAAAATAAACAAAATATGTCTTATACACCCAGTGTACGTTGAATTGAAGGTTTAATATACGAACTACCTGTCGTACTTTTACCGTGTCTAATATGAATTATAACACGATTCGTTTTAAACGCGTGTTTTGATTGGATACGGACAATGTTCCAATCTACGATAGAATCATAATCAATAGTGTTAAGCTCCACCAATCATACTTAAGCCACGCCACATTTTTAAGTAAAACAATGTGGCTTCAAGGTCGCCTCTAAGCGAAATCCCGCTTATAAGGCTAGCAGGCAACTGAACAGAAAGGACCGATGAAAAAAACCTGGTAAATATTCCTTGTTCTTATCCCCATTTATTACTGAAACGTTCGTTCCATCCGTGTTTAGGCATCTAGTTAGATCCGAAATCAAATTAAACATTTCACATATGTCGTATGAATATTGCTCAAAAGTCTTCACTGATCTAAACAAATAATCACAAATTTTGTCGATACGCACAGGTTGGCATGCAACCTTACATGGAAATGTAAGAATATGTTCAATGTAAATCCAAAAGGGTCGTATAAACTTTGGTTACAGGAAGTTCATGAACAATCCAAATATTCCGCCTCGTCAACATACTGATCGAGCGCTCGCCAGAAGGGGCTGGGCCAAATGACCGACTTTTGAAAGCTCCTTATTGATTAGTCAGTCCGCTGCAGAACGGCACGTGATCAGCAAAAGTCACAGAGGACTTTATTCCGTACTTGTGACAAGGACAAAAAGTGGTTTTTTAATGTTTGTACAATTCGTATCGATGCATACATTGCGATCCCGGTGATCATATTATCAGTAGACAACAGGTTTGTCGCAATGATCATGTCGAGAGTATTGGGCTGTTAACCGCTACAACATTGAAACCTTCCTTTTTAAGAAGGATGTTACATATATGATAACTAGGGTTGTTGGTTTTTTTTATGAATTTTATGTTTTTGATTTGTTTCATGGTGACGGTTTGTCTCTTTCTTATATGTTGTGATATGTCTTTGTTCATTTTTCAAGGACGGATTCGATCGAAAATTGGATAAATTCCTTTGGGTGCACAGTCGTTATTACTTCTTTGTCTATCGTGTTTGAAGGAAAATATCATCACTCGGTTCAGCATTCATCTTAACAATTTTGTGACTAAACTAAAGTTTATTATGCTTTTGTTAATTTCGATTAACGAAACCATTACAATGAAACATAATATTGTACCGTTATTTCTGTTTTAACTAGTGAATAGACTTTATCAGAAATTGTATGATTTACAGAAAAGAATATCGCCAGGATGTTTGATGATGCTCGTTAATTGTTATTGTTTTAAAAAAAAACATTCATGTTGATATTATTATTTTTTTTCTACAGAAATATAATTGTACATTACTATAATGTTATTGCTATAAACATGGCTGACAGTTTCTGAAAGTATGTACATGTAAGAACAGTATTATAAGTGGCAGGTATTTGATAAAATGCGTATTTATGTGTATTTGAAACAAAAGAAGTTTTTGCATTTTCCCGATGATTTTGTCCTTGTGTTTTTTGTTTGCATTTACTTTTACATATTGCAAATAGGCTGCACGTTTATTCAAGAACGACATCATAGTGTGAACCGAAATGATTTAGATAAAATGCACAGACCGAAAATATTTA